ACAGAGAATCTCCAGATTGCTAGGAATACGTCAGCATGCCGGCTGACAAGATGTAAACTAGGTCATGCTACATTAAAAAAAAAAAAAACAGATAAATGGCAAACACACGTTCATATCCTGATAGATACGGGTCGTGGTATTCTCAAAGCAAAATGATCCAATCATGAAAACATCAGACAAAACCCAATGGAAGACATTCTCCAAACAACTGGCCTATACCTCCAAAAATGTCAGATGACAAAAGACAAAAAACACAAAAAACCAAAAACAGAAAGTTGTTCACATTAAAAGAACAAAGACACATGACAACCAAAGGTGATGCTTGATTCGGCATTAATTCCACCGTGGAAAAATAATGCTGTAAAAACAGTATTGGATAATGGTAGATTTGAATTAATTGAAATTTAAAATAAAATTGGGGCCAGCCCGCGGTGGCCAACCCGTATCCTAGCCTCTGGGAGCCGAGCGAGGATTATCGAGGTCAGAGTTCGAAACCGCCTGAGCAAGAGCGAGACCCCGTCTCTAAAAAAATTAAATTAAATTAATAAATAAATTGGAACTGTTGTTAGAGAATAATATCACAATGTAAATTCTGATGATCAATGGTGCTGTGTTATACAAGAGACCCTGTCCTTGGGAGACCACAACTTGAAGATAGGAAAAGGGCACATGTCGCACTACTCTCAACTAATCAGCAAAAATTAACCAGTGGGTGTGTGTGTGGTGGTTGTGGTGCACATGTGTGTACAGGGAAAGAAACGCCAATGTGCAAAATATTAAATTTACCAGGTGGAGAGTAAAGGCTTGTACTATTCCTGTAAGTCTCTGTAAGTAAATTATTCAAATAAAAGTTAAAAAAAATAAGCTGGCACAGTGGCTCACACCTGTAAATCCAGCACTCTGAGAGAGCCCGAGGCGGAAATTGCTCATCAGATTCAAACCAGCTGCAAGAGCGAGACCCGTCCTCTACAAAAAAAAAAAAAAAAAGAGATTGGCAACTAAAAAACTATATAACAATACTGGTCGGTGTGCGCAGCTCTAATATCCAGCTACTCGGAGCGAGGCAGGAGGATCACTTGAGCCCCAGGATTTGAGTGCTATGAGCTAGGCTATCCACAGCACCTAGCCCAGCAACAAAGTGCACCCTGTCTCAAAAAAAAACAGTAATAAAATATAAAAAATATCACCATTCACAGAGGATGGCTTTTTAAAAAGGAGAAGAGTAAACACAGTACTACTCTCTGTCCACGCCATGGAAAAACCAGACGTGGTCTAATCTGACAATGGAGACCATCACAAAAGTTCTTTTATCTTTATATTCTTGAAGAAATAATATTTTTAAACCAGTAAAGTGAACTGGGCTATTTATGAAATATTACCTTTAGA